TCTTGCCTCAATTTCCATGCCTTTATGTTGCCCAGTCGCCCCACTTTGGTCTGAGGATATACCTCACTCTCAGCTGCCTCCTTGACCCTCTGATATTTCTGAGCCCAAATCAATTCAGGCAAGAAGTAGTTTGACCACCTCAGTGCCTCTGCTGGGACTTGATGGCCAGTCATCCACTTGAACTTGGGTGTGATGATCTATCAACATAGTCTGATACTCACATTTCCTCAAGTGACATCTGTCTTTTCTCTTGACCATTGTTGGTCTAACCCACAAATCTGGCTTCTATTTGATCTCTGGCTTTCAATCACCCCTAAAGGCATAGTCTCCTTTAAGGACTAGACGCAGACCCTGAACTTAGCTTGAGATCAGGCCCTGACATTATATAGCTGTCACCAACCCTTCTCCCTGGGACAGGAACCTGGATCTTTATACCAGGCCATTGTGGCCCCTGGACAATTTGTCTACAAATAACCTCCTGCCTGCCTGCCTGCCAGGGTGGGGAGGGCAGACAGGACACTTGGATTCCTCTCCACTGCGTTCCACACATTTGATTGGACCAGTTCCTTCAATCACCCCTGGGCTTGCTGTGTCCTTTGGCCATTTTGCCTCACCCATCTGGCTACCATTCTGATATTTGCCTTCGCAGCTGAGCTTATTCCTTTTGCTAAAGGCTTGGCTGTGTACACACAAGGCCAGGATTTGTTTTGTCRCCTCGTCTCTGTCTGCTCTGCATGGCTGGTAGATGCCTGTAGTGTTGTGTGCATGCCAAAGCTAGAAATCCATTTGGTTTCATCTTAACATGCTCTTTAAGAGGTTTGGTGTGAAAGTTTGACACTAATTGGATAAAAAAGGACTGATGGATGGGAGAATTTTTATTGATTTATTCTGTCCCTCCCATGACTAGTTTTTCTTCCCATATTTAATTGTATTATGAATATTGCCTTCTTAATACCTTAAARTCCATTTGTGTCTCTCTAGTACTTTTGTTTAGGCCGCCATTACTTCTTACCTGGGGCATAACCATAGTCCTTCATTTGCTCTCTAAACCCCACTTTCTCCAAACCAAAGTTTAAAAGGCCACTTGAATGATCTGATCMCGGCACCCCTCCATCAGATGTCTTTCAGTAATGTCCCATTTCCTAGCGATGTCGTTCACAACCTCCTTGACATTATGGCCCATATCTGAAGGAGGATATTMAAGTTCAGAACACATTATGGGCACACCACACTATGCACATTTCCTGCATGATGGTTGAAACATCCCCTCCTTTTCTTCACGATTGTAAAACAAGTGAAGGCAAATGATGGGAATTGTAGGTGCATCATAGAATCTGATCTAACTTGTATAAGAAACAGACTACTGGCAAAAGTGCTTTACTGCTGTAGTGACAAATGRCCTCAGAGTGACAGGATACTCTTTGGGGAATCACACTGAAGGGCAAAGTCCCAGCCTTAATATGTGTACAGAGGACTTCATGACCAACCACTGTGTATATGTCCATCCTTATTTCCTGTGATCATTATCACCACTCAGCACTACAAGGGTCCCAGGGGGAAGCATGATTTCTTTGACACCTGGAATTGGACAAAAACTTCAGCTGGGATCCTCTTTCCCATTCTATCATCGAGGTCTTGGTTTGGACGTCACTTGTTCCAGGTAGCATTTCTCTGATGTTCCAGTCTAAGTGCCTCTTCTTCAAATTCCCATGTTACTTAGTTTTCTTTTGCAAAACTGTACTGAAAGTATTTGTCTCCCACAGACCATCGTCTCTTTGAAGACAAAGACTGTGTTATCTTGTTTGTTCCTGTATTTCCAGAGCCTATAAGTGTACCAAGCACAGAGAAGGTTCCCAGTAAATGAATGAAACAATGAATGAATGAATGATTGATATTCAGTGTTGTTTGGGGTTGAATTGTCCCCCAACCCCCAAAGATGGGTTGATGTCTTAATCCCTGGTACCTGTGAATGTGACCTTTTTTTGGAAATAGGGTCTTTGTAGATGTAAGGAGGTTAAAATGAAGTTGGGCTGGATTAGGGTGGGTCCCAATGACTAGTGCTCTTGTAAGATGAGGGAAATTTGGACACAGACATACAAAGAGAAGAATTCCATGTGAAGACAAGGAGATACAGGAGAGAGAAAGAGAGAGAGGAGAGAGAGATGGGGGGAGGAGATGAATGTGAACATACCCATGATGAGATCTTGATTTTAGACTTATAGTTTCCAGAACTGTGAAGGAATAATTTTCTGTTGCTTCTTTGTTATGTCAGCCCTAGGAAATGGATACAGGTTGTCTGTCTGTCTGTCTGTCTATCTATCTATCATCTATCTATCTCAGGTATATTGTGGCACAAGGGCCCAGGTTGCTTTTGAGAGGTGTCACACTGGTCTGGGAAAATGCATCTTGACCGTCACCATTTGTGGATTCAATATAATTGTTAGAAAATATTTTGTTACAGCTTTCTTAAAATAACAGTAGATTTCTTAAAATAACAGCATCTTTTTTTTTTAATAGCACATTGGCTGAAGTAAAACAACATTCCCATCTGGAAAACAGGTGAGGGTGCAAGGGGAGGTAGAGAGGAACACTGTTATAACTTGACAATGGGCCAAGGTAAGGACACGACACTTCAGGGAACAAGGAAGCACTGAGCTTGACCAGTATCACTCCTGGGCTTGATGTTATTGCTTAGGGAGGCCAAGAGGCTGGATAGCTCAAACTCACCTCCACTGCATGAGCTGGATGGCTCAGCACCTCCAAAACCACCTCAGTCTGTGAGGTATCTGCAGGAGGTTTTCTAATAGACATCTCAAGTGGTCCACAGAACTGAACTTTGGATCATCACCGCCGTCTCCTCTCTCCCCTTTCCTCTCTCCAACCTGCTTCACTCAAAGCCATCTTCACTTCTGTGCATGCCAGCTCTCTCCTTGCAGTTGTTCAAGCCCAGACCTTAAGCCACTCTGTGGATCTTCTGTTTCTTTCACACCTGAGATCCAATCTGTCAGGCATTCTGTGAGCTCCGTGTTCAAAATACACTGAGGAGCTGACCATTCCCCACCGTCTGCATGGTTATTTCCCTGATTATCACTATCCTTATCTTTTACTAAAGGTGTGGAAACAGCCTCCTGATAGATAGGTCTCTCTGTGTTTACCATTGACACCTCTTCTCTTTCCTCCTTCCATTTTATTCTCAGTACAGTCTTCTGCTGTGGCCATGAGTCCCAAAGTCTGCTATGGCTCCCCAATTTACTCAGAATAAAGGCAAAACCCTGATTATGGCCTTCTACAGCTTCCCGCTCTAAGTTACTCACCAGATCTCATCTTTCTTTGTTTACTCCATTCTAACCATGCTGGCCTTGCTATTCCTTAAACACTAGGATGACTGTGCCTCAGGGCCTTTGCACCGTTCTTCCTTCTTCCCTCTTCTAGATTTCTTCCCTCAGGAATCTGACATTCCTGAGCTTAACCAACTCTCTCTTATGCTTATGATCTGTTCTTRAGTGTTATCTTCTCAATGAGGCCAACCAGGGCCATCATTTTAAATTCTACTTCCTACCTTACTGTTTCTTCTGATTCTTCTCATTTTATTCTACTTCATTTGTTATAGTAATTCTCACCTTTTAACATATTACAATGATTTACTTAATGTGTCTACTATTTATTGGAAAACTTTCAGCCCAGTGTCCTTCCTGGATTAGACTGTTAACAAAGATTTATTGTTGTTTTTGTTAGAGATGATGTCTTCAAAAAATTTTTAATGTACATTTGTATTGCAAAAGGTAGAACTTTCTTAAATGCCACCTTTAAAAAATATTATTGAGGTGAGATTCATTTAACAGAAAATTCACCATTTTAAAGTGAAGCATTTAGTACATTTACGGTGTCGTATAGCATCTGGTTTTGGTCATATATAAATTACCATACCTACATTGTGCAGATGTTTCCAAAATACATCAACATCAGTTGTATCATTTAGATATAGTCTTCAGTGATTTCCTTTGCCCCTTAAGTTTAAAGAGAGAGAGAGAGAGAGAGAGAGAGAGAGAGAGAGAGAGAGAGAGAGCACACAGTGACAGAATACATTGTCTAACCTCTGAGTACTTTGCAGAAATGAAATTTCAAACAAGCCAGCCTAGACATGAAGTTAAAAATAAATCCCTCTATGTTTGTAAACCTTAAAAAAAATTTCAATGGTTTTGCTAATTGTTTCAAGATGTTGGATGTCTTAAAGTATGCTGTAAAAATCCTACATGATGACAAAACAAAACTCATTAGCGAGTGCTTCCCTGTTGGGATTTCACTTTATAAAATATGAAATGTAGAAGTTCATGGTAAGGCAATCTTACAACTGCGAATTTAAACCCAGTATAATTTTAAAAGGGGAAAGATTGGTGTAATTTTGATACATCCCTGTTTTGCTGAGGTAGATCTGAGAATAATACATCTCACCAGGCTCATTCTCTTTTTTGTTCCTTTAGAGTGCTATAAAGTTAATTCAAGAAAACTAAAAGGATATAGAAGAAGCTGTTAACAGTTCTCTGTTTTTGTTTTCTATGCAGAGGGCTTCTGGGGATGGTACGAGGAAGACTTATTTTATCATTACATAATATTCCTCTGTGTGCTGTTCAAATTTTTGCCCTAGGCATGTATTATAGCCTAAAACAACAATAACAAACCCCCTTAAACTTTTGTTGAATTATCTCTGAGTCCCCCACCATAATGGTGTGTATTCCCAGGGCTCCTTAGTGATGGGAACTCAGTGTAAACAGGTGTCTGCAGACAAGGGGCAGCATGAGGTGGGGGTGGCTCACTGGATCACAGAGACAAGAGATGGGTGGCTTACTAAGCAGGGAAGGAGCAGTTCACAGAACTGAAGGAAGAACCACGGCCTCGGGGGCCAGAACTCCAGGACACACTTTCTCTGGCTCTCATTATCATCTCTGTTCATATTTACTCCCATTTTCATGTTGGTGTCCTTCTCTCCTATTTCTCCATAGGGACCAGGCTGCGGGCTGTCCTAGCTGAGGAAACCCAGGAAGAAGAAAAAAAAAAATCTTTTCCCCCTAAGTCTCTGTTTCAGTCCTGATGAAGGATCCTGATTGCTTCTGATTAYGTCCCATGCTGTATCGTGAACCACTGCTATTGCCAGGAAAAATGGTGAGACGTGGATCATCTGCCCCATATGTGGCCAGGGTAGTGGAATTTCTTAATAGAAGAGATCTGTGAAAGCTTCCTGGAAGGAAATATAAATTACCATACCTACTAGAGCCTGCCCCTTGACTGCCTAGTCTAACAAAATTCCCCCATAAACAGTATCCCAAGAAAGTTCCAGGCTAAAAGAGCCCAGCCATCATACAGAGACYTAAAATATATGGACCCCTTCCCCAAGCAAAACCATTTGAAATCTTTACCAAATGAGGGTAAAATTGGGGGAGCAGGGTCTTTCTCCTTCTTAAACTATTTTGAGTGTGGCTTCTCTTTGTTCACTAACTCTTGTCTAATTAAGGAATAGAATATTCACAGYGAAAAACTTCAATTTCAAAGAGAAAAAAAGGAAACACAGCAAAACATACAGTGGTAATTTTTCTATCACAAACATTACCTCCTGCTAAACAGGGATTGCAAAGAACCACTTCTTTGGTGAAAGATTGAATTTCGTAGACRCAGAGTGCAGCAGCCTCAGGTTCTCCCCACTTGAAGGAATCTTGCCAAAGTGATGTCCTTGTGAAAGGCCTAGGGGTCAAGCTTCTCAGGCCCTCTGCTTTCTCTCAGATACCCTCATTCCAAAACCTAGACCCCCAGTCCTTTTCAACAGAAGCCTTCTTACCAGGGGCACTTAACACAYGATCTGCAGGCAGAAAGGGCTTTGCAATGACAGATTTGTAATTTTTTGGTTTRATGTTTAATTTGTACTAGAATGGAAACCCAGACTGTCTTATTACTATTTTAAGTTGGAAACATCATTTAACTCATTTTAGTGGCTCTTATCCAGAATAGAATCTATGCTGTATTTTGAATATGTTCTCTTTGAAATTCAGGTTTTAAAACTCAGTGGCCAATGTGGGATCTTCAAGAGACGATTAGGTTATGAGAGTGTCTCCCTYCATGAATAGGATTATGACCCTTGTACAAGAAGCTTCACATAGTGTTTGGTTCACTTGTCCTTCTGCCTTTCTCCATGTAAGGACACAGGATTTCTTCCCTTCAGAGGATGCATCAACAAGACCTAATCTTGGAAGTGAAAAGAAGCCTTCACCACACAATTGAATCCACTAACCTTTATTTCAGACTCTTTAGCCTTCAGAATGGTGAGAAAGTAATTTTTTGTTGTTTATAAATTATCCAGTCTTGGGCATTTTATTACAGCAATACAAAATGCACTAAGAGTCTCTCTCTCTCTCTCTCTCTCTCTCTCTCTCTCTCCCCCTATTTGTCTACCTACAAACCTATCAATCAATTAGTTATCTATTTAATCTTCCTTCCTGTACAGGAAGTGGAAATTTAGGCCATAGTATTTTAAATACTATTATTTTCAAAAGCTCGTCCATGCTCTTAAGTAAAGGGTTCTTGGTTGTTTGCCTTTCTTAACACTGCTTTGATTTTTTTAATGTCCATCAAAGTTTTTTTCTGAAGTTTCTGGCCCATCCATTGAACACTTTGAGGATGAAGAGAAGGAATGAAAGGAACCTAGGAATAAAGTAAGAAGGGCCATTGAAGTGGCTTCAAGGTTGGGGCCACCACCTGAAAACCTAGACAAAGTGAATTGACAGAACCTTCGGTTAGGAGCCTTGTCTTTGTGCCCTGGAGTCACATTCGGCCTGAAACCTTGTTTGATGACTATGCAGTTTTCATAGGATTGAAAACCTTACATTCCCTCTTCCCAGGGCATCTGAAGAGCTAGTGTTCATCTTCATGGAACCTTGCTCATTATATATCCATTGTCCTCAGCAGTTTCCTTTCCAGCAGAAATAATGCCTACCCTATACCATAAGACTGCTTCTGCCAGTGGTTAAGTACCTGTGAGTGTTTCTACCAGAATTGTTTTGATAAAGGGAATCCCTAGGCTGTCAAAGAAATAATGGGCATGAATTTCTGTACCTGTACTTAAATGAGTTTGCTAAGCCCTCCAGGTGGCCAAACTGGGATAGGAATGAATGGATGCGTCCCCAGATGTTCTCTTTATTCCCAATCTGTTTCAAGCCYGGCAATCTAGAACTGAGTTTTGTTTCTACTCTTTGGCTAAAGTTGCACAGAGTTGGAGACTSGAAGTAAAAGTTTAAACAGCTGGTTCTCTACTCCAGCTTACCCTCTAAGGTGAGGGTAGTATAGGGAGGGAGGAGAGCATCACAGTTCTGCTGTAGCCATCATTCCTGATTTCCTCTGAGTGTTCCTTGTTTGCAACTCCTCTTTCTGGGCTCAAAGTATTCTCCATTTGAACTGTTTAGTTGCTAGGAAGGAAAGTCCCTTGAATTAGCTCAAGTAAAATGGCCTGTTTATCTGTATTGCTACAACAACCAATATCCTGTACAAGGAGACAATGCTGTAGACATTGAGGTAGAAGACGTGAAGTACATTTGAGCCTAAGAGGGAATGTAAAAGAGAAAATAAAGAAATAAGGCTGTTATTTTTATAAGAGCTTTTCTTCTTTTATCTTGGTTTCTATTTGGATTTTTCTTTTCTCTGCAGAGGCTACATTTGCCCYGATTGATGGTGCCTTTGACCCTGTAGTTTCCCCTTGGTTCCTTATCTCAAAATGGGGGAGAGATAGTTACTCAAAAGGAAATTGAAATGCTATTAGCACAGGAGAATAAGCTCTGGGAAGCCAAAAAAAATTTTTTTTTTCTGATCATGACCCATCTCTCTGAACTAATTCAAGTGGGATGGATGGTTTGCCATGTCTGAAGCAGGTTAGAGTTGACATTGTGGGAAAGTTCCCATAGGGTTGGATGAAAGTACAGATGTGTCTGACTTGTCTCAGTTTATGATATCTGCTAGATTATTTTTTTTTTCAAAAATGAAATACCTGAAAAAGAATTCTTTCTATTTCCTTCAACTAACTTCAACTAAGGAAAATACATCTGGGAAGGGCTAGATTAATTATAAATGTATTAATGATTTCCTAAATAAAATAAGGGGTAAGGCAAGAGGAACTGAAGCACAGTGAAATTTAATGACTACATCATTCATAGGCAGCTATTGAAGGAAAAAGTTCAAAGCTATAGGGAGTTAAAATTCCCAGAATATAGATATGGTGAAATTTGTGAAAACAGAGTCTTTAATTTTTAATACTTTAATGATTTATAGCAAGGATTGGAAGACTTTCTCTGTAAAGAGGATGTTTTAGTCAGCTTTTTTTGCTGCTGTGACCAAAGACCTGACGAGAATACTTTTAGAGGAGGAAAAGTTTATTTGGATCTCGTGGTTTCAGAGGTCTCGGTCCWTAGATGGCCAAGTCCATTACTGTGTGCCTGAAATGAGGGAGAACATTATGATGGAAGGGTGCAGCAGAGGAAAGCAGCTCAGGACATGAGAATCAGGAAACAGACTGTTCCACTCAACAGGGACAAAACATACACTCCAAAGACATGTGCCCCCCACCCCATAAACCCACTACTTCCTCCAGCCACACCCTGCCTGCCTCCAGTTACCACCCAGTTAATCCATTCAAATGAATTAATGCACTGATTAGATTAAAGCTCTCAGAACCCAGTTGTTTCACCTGTAAATTTTCTTGCCTTTTCCTCACACATGAGCTTTCAGGAGAATACCTCATATCTAAACCATAACAGAGAAAGAGAGTTAATATTTTAGACTTTGCAGGTCATGTGATCTCTATCACAACTGTTCCACACTGCTGTTGTTAGGTGAAAACAACCACAGGAAATATGGAAATAAATGTGTCAGTGTTCAAAACAAAAACAAAAACAAACCCCCCAAAACTTCGGCCCTTGAATCAAATTCATTCTACTCCTGTTTTTATTAGCGGTATAATGGATTTAATTCAAGGGCCATAGTTTGCTGACCCCTTTATTAATGAGATAGGGGTCACCATAAACACAGAGGTTTACTGTTTATATTTTAACAAAGCATTTAAAAAGATTGTTGAAGTCAAGGACAAATTTGCAATTTATTGATCCCTCATATGATGACAAGTAGTTGTCAGTAGTATGCCACCTTGCAGATAAAACAACAACAACAACAACAACAACAACACAGATTAAATAGCTCATTTCTTTAAAGTGAAAGTGACAATGGTGAGAAACAAACTGCTTTTTCAAAGAAACCCAGGGGGCATTCTAAAAAAAAAAAAAAGGCTCTGGGAGAATGTGTCCATTATTACAGTGCTTAGTTGTGGAAATTATATATGTCTGTTTCCATTATACTTAATAATTGTAAAAAAAGAATTTTCTAATATATTTAATAATCTCCCAAAGAATATTAGTGGGTTTTGATTTCATTGGTTAAAGAATATAAGTATACATTCCCTTCTAATCTGTAGTGATAATTTTTTATTTGTTAAAAAATGTAAATATACGTTCCCTTCTAATTTGTAGTGATAATTTTTTATTTGTTAAAAAATGTAAATATACGTTCCCTTCTAATTTGCAGTGATAACATTTTTAGCAACAAAAATCATGGAAATGTTGGGCACGGTGGCTCACGCCTGTAATCCCAGCAGTTAGGGAGGCTGAGGCAGGAGGATCACGAGTTCAAAGCCAGCCTCAGCAAGGCCCTAAGCAACTCAGTGAGATCTTGTCTCTAAATAAAATACAAAATAGGGCTGGAGATGTGGCTCAGTGTTTCTCTGAGTTCAATCTTCAGTATGTACCCCCCCCCAACAAAGATGGAAATTTATTAGCCAAACTTCAACCAAAAATTCTAAACCGAGGACAGAGTTTTTAAAAAGGGGTATTATGATTTAGCAAAGCAGCCAAGTAAGCAACTTCTTCCACTGGGTTCCTTTTGAAGCCTCTGGGTGAGGTTCTTTTTCTAGTCAACCATTAAGTGTTGCTGTGAACTAAATTTAGACGGCAGACCTTCAAATTGCTGTGTCACTAATCTTTAAACCAAGATTCTAAAAAGAATGATAAAACATATTTAAACATACTGTTCAAAGGCTTTTTTGTTGTTCAAGAAATTAACAGAACAAGGATAAT